TTCATCCAGGTTAGGAAGTGGCATGCAGCTTCCTTGTTATTTTTCACGGTAGCATAGTACTCCATTGTGTGTATGTACCACAGTTTGCTTATCCATTCTTCAGTTGATGGGCACTTTGGCTGCCTCCATCTTTTTGCTATTGTAAATAGTGCTGCTATGAACATTAGTGTGCATATATCTTCCCGTGTTGTGGCTCGTTTTTCTTACCTTTGAGTTTTGGTATTGGCAAAGAATCTTAAATATTCTGTGAAATGCCAGAAGAATGAACAAATCTGTTTTGGAAGAAGTACAGTCAGAATGTTTTTTAGAATCGAGAATGTTGAGACTTTATCTCACATTGGACATATTATTGGAAGGGACCAGTCCCTGGAGAGGGACATCATGCTTGGTAAAGTACTAGATCAGTGAAAAAGAGGAAGCCCCTCAATGAAATGGATTGATACAGTGACTGTAGTAGTGACTCTGCCATGACAACAAGTGTGAGGAAGGCTCAGGACTTGGCAGGGTTTGGTACTGTTGTACATGGGCTTGCTATGAGTCAGAACTGACTTGATAGACCTAACAGCAGCACTGCTGAGTTGCGTTAATTTTGTTTATCTTTGATAAACATAGGACAGTATCTTAAAGTAATATTTCATTAACTGTTAGAAGAATTTCAATATCAGTTTTTATGTGTGATGTGTCTGGGTGGAAAAATTTTCCATTTTTCATTTTAGACATAACATTCTGATATACTTTTAAACATTAAAATTTTAACAAAATTCAAATACTGCAACAATAATTGTTATTGTTAGATGTCATCATAATAATGGTAATTAACCTTTAGAGAATACTTACTATGTGCCAGATCTAAACACTGGTCTAAATATTGACTCATTTACTTTTTTCAACAGCCCTATTGCTTTAGGCACTGTCTCAGTTATCTAATGCTGCTATAACAGAAAAACCATAATTGATTTTTTTCTTTTGTTTTTTTAACAAATAGAAATCTTTTTCTCTCACAGTTTGGGAGGTTTGCAGTCTGGAATCAGGGCACTAGGCCTAGGGGAATGCTTTCTCTGTTGGCTCTGAGGGAAGATCCTTATCTCCCTTTCAAGATCTGTGGACCTTGAATCCCTTGGAAGTTTCCATGTGTCTTGGCATCAGCTTTCCCCAGGGTCTAGGAGATTCTCAGCATAGGAACTCTGTTTCAAAGACATGTTCTGATACCGGCTCTTCTTTCTTGTTGGTACTGAGGTCCCTCCCTCTCTGCTCACTTCTCTCTCCTTTTGTCTCTTACAAGATAAAGAGTGATGCAGACCCCACCCCAGGAAAACTCTGCTGACATCAGATCAGGGTTCTACATCCCACCCTAACCC